CCCCAAAACCCCAAAACCCCAAAACCCCAAAACCCCATTCAATTTGTCAAAATTTTAAATCTTAAATATCAACATTTATTCATAGTTAAGAGATGGTAGCAAAGTCATAGCAATGATAGGATCACCTAAGAGCTTACCATCGTAGTATATCTGAGGGAAATCACACCACTTAGAATATGAAATAGCTGCTTTCCGGAGTTCTGGGTTGGCTATATATGAAGAAGAAGTTATACCTTTCAAACTAACATTGCCATACACTCATGGTATTTTGGAGCGATACATGAAATCAATCATCTCCATTGAGCTTTTCGCTTCTGGAGCAAGTTTTTCTCCTTCTATGAGTACTACAATACGCGCTTGGGAAAGTAAATTTATTAGTTTATCTTCAGGTTTCATCACTATCTCAGTTGTAGGAATGATAGACAAAGCTTTACCTGAATTAAGTAGCTCCATAAAATTACTAGAATCAGAATAAAACTTCTGGTTCAAGAAAACCTGAGGGTAAGAGTTTCACCCGGTGTATTCCTTCATTTGCTCTCTAAGGTTTGAATCTAGGGTGATATCATAATATCCAAAAGTGAATTTATGATCATTTAGACAATTTATCAACTCAGATTGATACTCATTCTTGGGCTTATCAGGAGTTCCCTTCATAAACACAGTAATAAAATTCTTAGAAGTTATCGTCTTCATTCTTTCCAAAGCTGATCTTTTGACTGATTCCTTAGGAACAATTTCAAGAAGCTCGTCTTTAGTCATGATTGCCTTGATGATATTTATACCTCCAATGAATTTTCCTCTGACAAAGACTTGTGGGTAGGAATTTACCTTGGTGTAATATTTAAGCCATTGTCTTATCTCAGGATCTGAGAGAACATTAAAGCTATTGAATCTGAGCCTGAGATCATCGAAATACTCACAGAGTTCTGCACATTCATTCTCACAGTCACTAGTATGCCCTTTAATAAATGCTAAGATAGGTGATTGTTTAAATCATTTTATCTATCCTTTCAAAAGCTTCTTCTTTGGTACTTTCAAAAACTTTGAAATACTGGAGATGCAATTTCTGTATATACTCTGTAAAACTGTCAACTTCTGGGCAATCGAACAAGGTAGCTTCTCTATGCACTATAAAGCCATCAATGCCATACTTACACATGTCATAGACAGCAATGCTTGGGACTCCTAGGAATAATCATGCTGGAGGGCTTACCTTTAGTCTCAAAGGGATTATCCAAAATTTTATTTAGTGGTCTCAAATCTTCTTGACTTTGGAATCAAAGTTGATGAAGAATAATCTATCTTAGAATTACTATATGTCTGAAAATGAATTCAATTCTTAAATAATTCTTTGCTTTTCTCTGTATTTCACCATAAGTAGTTTCCATATATCCTAGGACTATCTTCATCAGCATAAACAGGAGCTGAGAGATGCTTTCCTTTTGCAAACTCCTGAAATAATTTCTTGAAATCATCACAAGGGGGATGCCATGCTACCCAGAATAGAAGAACAGTATATCTATCCATGCTGTTATTGCAATAACCTTTGAATTCATCCCAAGTTGATATACGTTCAAAGACTGGGACATCTTTCTGAGTATATGAAGGTATCATTAAATTATATATAAACTCAATACTTAAATTGGTCCAAGGGGTTTTGGGGTTTTGGGGTTTTGGGG